CATGGGGACATCGGGAATGGTCACCCGGGGGGTGGGGACACACCAGGAGCACCCGGGACCCCTCCCCAGGTGACACAGCCCCAGGGGGTGACAGTGACAGGACAGGCCCGCAGTACCCGGGGGGGTGACAGTGACAGTAACAGTGACAGGACAGTGACAATGACAATGACAGTGACGGTGACAGTGAATGGCAGTGACAGTGACACAATGACAGTGACAATGACAGTGACGGTGACAGTAACAGCACACCCTGCCGTACCCGGGGCGACAGCGACAGTGACAATGACAGTGACAGGACAGTGACAGTGACAGTGACACAGTGACAGTGACAATGACAGGACAATGACAGTGACAATGACAGTGACAATGACAGGACAATGACAGTGACAGGACAATGGCAGTGACAGTGACAGTGACACAGTGACACAGTGAAAGTGACACAGTGACAGTCACAGTGACACACTGACAGTGACAGTGACAGTGACAATGACTGTGACAGTGACAGCGACACAATGACAGTGACAATGACAGTGACGGTGACAGTGACAGCACACCCTGCCATACTCGGGGATGACAGTGACAGTGACGGTGACAATGACAGTGATAGTGACACAGTGACAGTGACAATGACAGTGACACAGTGACAGTGACAGTGACAATGACAGTACAGTGACAATGACAGTGACACAGTGACACAGTGACAGTGACAGTGACAATGACAGTACAGTGAAAATAACACAGGGACAGTGACAGTGACACAGTGCCAGTGCCAGTGACAGCGACAGTGACAGTGACAATGACAGTGACACAGTGACAGTGACAATGACGGTGACAGTGACAATGACAGTGACAGTACAGTGACAGTGACACAGTGACACAGTGACAGTTATACAGTGACAGTGACACAGTGACACAATGACAGTGACACAGTGACAGTGACACAGTGACAGTGACAATGACAGTGACACAGTGACACAGTGCCAGTGACGGTGACAATGACACAGTGACAGTGACACAGTGACAGTGATACAGTGACAGTGACAGTACAGTGACACAGTGACAGTGACGGTGACAATGACACAGTGACAGTGACACAGTGACAGTGACACAGTGACAGTGACAATGACGGTGACAGTGACAATGACAGTGACAGTACAGTGACAGTGACAGTGACACAATGACAGTGACAGTGACACAGTGACACAGTGACACAGTGACAATGACACAGTGACAGTGACAGTGACACAGTGACACAGTGACACAGTGACAATGACAGTGACAGTGACACAGTGCCAGTGATGGTGACAATGACACAGTGCCACCGGCCGTACCTGTCCCTGGGCGTTGGTCAGCAGCTGTCCCTGCACGCTGGGGACAGGCGTGGCCATCACGGGGGGGGCGCTGAGCGAGCCCAGGAGCTGCGGCTGCGCCCCCAGAGCGGCCGTGAGCTGGGGGGACACGGGAGTGACCACCGGAGTGACCACCGGAGTGACCACTGGAGTGACCACCGGAGTGAACACCCAGACCCCCCAGAGTGACCACTGCAGTGACCACCCGAGTGACCACCGGAGTGACCACCAGAGTGACCACTGGAGTGACCATCGGAGTGACCACTGGAGTGACCACTGGAGTGACCACTGGAGTGACCATCGGAGTGACCACCCGAGTGACCACTGCAGTGACCACCGGAGTGACCACCGGGGTGACCACCAGAGTGACCACCGGAGTGACCACTGCAGTGACCACCTGAGTGACCACCTGAGTGACCACTGCCGTGACCACCGGAGTGACCACCTGAGTGACCACCGGAGTGACCACCCAGACCCCCCAGAGTGACCACCCGAGTGACCACCGGAGTGACCACCCCGGAGTGACCACCGGGGTGACCACCGGAGTGACCACTTGGACCCCCCAGAGTGACTCCCCCCCGGAGCAACCACCCCCTGGCCACCCAGACCCCCCAGAGTGACCACCCAGAGTGACCACCCGGAGTATCCCCTCGCGGCCACTGGAAGCCCCTGGAGTGACCCCCCCATCCCTGCGGCCACCGGAGTGACCACCCGAGTGACCCCCCCATCTCCGAGGCCACTGGGGAACCCCAAATCCATCAATCCCTAAACCCGGGGAGCGCCCCAAAACAGAGCTGCAGCTCCTCAGTGCGGGGAAACTGAGGCACAGGTTGTGTTTGGGGAAACTGAGGCAGGGATTGTGCTTGGGGAAACTGAGGCAGAGATTTCTCTGGGTAAACTGAGGCAGGGATTGTGTCTGGATGGGGAAACTGAGGCACGGATTGTACTCAGGTAAACTGAGGCAGAGATTGTGCTCAGGTAAATTGAGGCAGGGATTGTGTCTGGGTAAACTGAGGCACGGATTGTGTTTGTGTCTGGGTAAACTGAGGCAGGGATTGTGTCTGGGTAAACTGAGGCAGAGATCCTGTACGGGGAAACTGAGGCAGGGATTGTGCTCAGGTAAACTGAGGCAGGGATTGTGTCTGGATGGGGAAACTGAGGCAGAGATTGTGCTGGGTAAACTCAGGCAGGGATCTCGCATGGGGAAACTGAGGCAGGGATTGTGTCTGGATAAATTGAGGCACAATTTGCTCAGGTAAACTGAGGCAGGGATTGTCTCTGGGTAAACTGAGGCACGGATTGTGTGTAAATTCAGGGAAACTGAGGCAGAGATCCTGCACGGGGAAACTGAGGCAGGGATTGTGCTCAGGTAAACTGAGGCAAGGATTGTGTTTGGGTAAACTGAGGCAGGGATTGTGCTCAGATAAACTGAGGCACGGATTGTAAATTCAGGGAAACTGAGGCAGGGATTGTGTCTGGATGGGGAAATTGAGGCAGGGATTTGCTCAGGTAAACTGAGGCAGGGATTGTCTCTGGGTAAACTGAGCAGGGATTGTGTTTGGGGAAACCGAGGCAGGGAATATGTTTGGGTAAACTGAGGCAGGGATTTCTCTGGGTAAACTGAGGCAGGGCTCTGTCCCCCACATTCCCAGCTCAGGTAAACTGAGGCAGGGCTCTGTCCCCCACATTCCCGGGTCAGGTAAACTGAGGCAGGGATTGTGTCTGGGTAAACTGAGGCAGGGCTCTGTCCTCCACATTCCCGGCTCCCCGTGACCCCCCGGGCCGGGTTGGGTCGGTCCTTACAATGCCGGGGTTAAAGGTCAGTCCGGTGATCTGGGGCTGCGCTGCCATCGGGGGCTCCTTCGGGGGGGTGGGCGCCGGGGGGGGCGGCCCGGGGGGCGCCGGGACCGCGGGGACAGCGGGGACAGCGGGGACAGCGGGGCTGAGCACGGCGGCAGCTGCGGAGAGACGGGGACAGCGTCAGGGGGGAGGTGACACCGGTGACACCGCCCCGGGGACACCTGGGACACCCCAAAACCGCCCCGGCCCCGCCCCCGGGGACACCTGGGACACCCCGAAACCACCCTGGGCACACCTGTGACAGGTGCAGGGGGGGTGACACCGGTGACACCGCCCCGGGGGACACCTGGGACACCCCAAAACCGCCCCGGCCCCACCCCCGGGGACACCTGGGACACCCCAAAACCGCCCCGGCCCCGCCCCCAGGACAGCATATGGGGGAGGTGACAGCGGTGACACCGCCCCAGCCCTGCCCCCGGCCCGGGGGACACCCCAAAACCGCCCCGGTCCCACCAGGGGACAGCGTCAGGGGGGTGACACCGGTGACACCGCCCAAGCCCCGCCCCCAGGGACACCTGGGACACCCCAAAACCGCTCTGGCCCCGCCCCGAGCACACCTGGACAGGTGCAGGGCCGGGACAGTCCCCACACCTTGGGGTGGATCCGCCCCCTGGTAAGACCCAAAGGGTTCCAACCTTGCCAGGTGTGAGGGGAGCCACAGCTGGAACCCCAAATCTGCACCTGGAACCCCAAATCTGAACCTGGAGCCACGCCTGGAACCTCAAATCTGCACCTGATGCCCGAAATCTGCACCTGGAGCCCCAAATCTGCACTGGGGACACACCTGGAACCCCAAATCTGCTCCTGGATCACCAAATCTACACCTGGAGCCCCAAATCTGCACCTGGAACCCCAAATCTGCACCTGGAACCCCCAAATCTGCACTGGGGACATACCTGGAACCCCAAATCTGCACCTGGAATCCCAAATCTGCATCTGGAACCCCAAATCTCCACCTGGAACCCCCAAATCTGCACCTGGAGCTCCAAATCTGCACCTCGAACCCCAAAATCTACATCTGAAACCCCCAAATCTGCACCTGGAGCCCCGAATCTGCACCTGGAACCCCAAATCTCCACCTGGAACCCCCAAATCTGCACTGGGGACACAGCTGGAGCCCCAAATCTGCATCTGAAACCCCCCAGTCTGCACCTGGAACCCCAAATCTGCACTGGGGGCACACCTGGAGCCCCAAATCTGCACATGGAGCTCTAAATCTGCAGCTGAAGCCCCAAATCTGCACCTGGAACCACACCTGGAACCCCCAAATCTGTACATGTATCTCCAAATCTGCACCTGGAACCTCCAAATCTGCACCTGCAGCCCCAAATCTGCACCTTTTATACTCAAATCCCCCAAATTCAAGCCCATTTCAGACCCTTCCTGCAGCCACACCTGGAGCGTCAAACCTAAACCTTTTACCCTGAAATCCCCCAAATTCAAGGTAAATTCTGCTCCTTCCTGAAGTGACACCTGGAGCCCTAAATCTACACCTGAAATCCTGAAATACTCAAAATTGACAGCAAATTCTGGTCTTTCCTGAAGCCACACCTGGAACCCAAACCTACACCTTAAATCCCAAAATCTCCCAAATTCAATCCAAATTCTGATCCTTCCTCCGGCCACACCTGGAACCCAAACCTACACCAGGTGCCACAGCTGGAGCTCAAAATCTGCACCTGAAATCCCCCAAATTCAAACCCCTTTCCACTCATTAGGGCAGCCACACCTCGAGCCCCAAATCTGCACCTTAAATCCCAAAATCTCCCAAATTTAATACAAATTCTGCTCCTTCCTGCAGCCACACCTGGAGCCCCAAATCTGCACCTGAAATCCCCAAAATTCAAGCCCATTTCAGGCCCTCCTGAAGCCACACCTGGAGCTTCAAATGTACACCTGGTGCCACACCTGGAGCCCAAAATCTACACCGGAAATCCTAAAATCCCCCAAATTTAATCCCAGCTCTGAACCTTCCTGCAGCCACACCTGGAACCCCAAACCTACACCTGATATCCTGAAATCCCCCAAACTGATGGCAAATTCTGATCTTTCCTGAAGCCACACCCAGAGCCCCAAATCTACACTGAAATCCCCCAAATTCGAGGGAAATTCTGCTCCTTCCTGATGCCACAGCTGGAACCTCAAATCCACACCTGGAGCTCAAAATCTACACCTGAAATCCTAATATCCCCCAAATTCAAGCCACGTTTTGATCCTGCCTAAAGCCACACCTGAAGCCCCAAATCTGCACCTTTTGTTGCCCAAATTCAAGCCCAACTCTGATCCTTCCTGAAGCCACACCTGGAACCTCAAATCCACACCTGGTGGCACATGTGGAGCTCAAAATCTACACCTTAAATCCCACAAATTGAAACTCAGTTCTGCTCCTTCCTGCAGCCACACCTGGAACCGCAAACCTGCACCTGAAATGCCCCAAATTCAAACCCATTTCCACTCATTATGGCAGCCACCACATGAGCCCCAAATCTACAGCTGAAATCCTAAAATCCCCCAAATTCAAACCATATTTTGATCCTGCCTAAAGCCACACCTGGAGCCCCAAATCTGCACCTTTTATCCTAAAATTCCCTCGATTCAAGCCCAACTCTGATCCTTCCTGCAGCCACACCTGGAGCCCAAAATCTACACCTGAAATCCCAAAATCTCCCAAATTCAATCCAAAATCTGCTCCTTCCTGCAGCCACACCTGGAGCCCAAAATCTACACCCTAAATCCCAAAATCTCCCAAATTCAATCCAAATTCTGCTCCTTCCTGAAGCCACATCCAGAGCCACAAACCTAGACCATATGCCACACCTGGAACCCCAAATCTACACCTGGTGGCACATGTGGAGCTCAAAATCTGCACCTGAAATCCCCCAAATTGAAACTCAGTTCTGTTCCTTCCTGCAGCCACACCTGGAACCCCAAATCTACACCTGAAATCCCCCAAATTCACACTCCTTTCCACTCATTACTGCAGCCACACCTGGAACCTCAAATGCACACCAGGTGCCACACCTGGAGCCCAAAATCTACACCTGAAATCCTAAAATGCCCCAAATTCAAGCCATATTTTGATCGTGCCTAAAGCCACACCTGGAGCCCCAAACTTGCACCTGAAATCCCAAAATCTCCCAAATTCAATCCCAATTCTGCTCCTTCCTGAAGCCACACCTGTAGCCCCAAATCTGGACCTTTTTATCATGAAACCCCCCAAATTCAAGCCCAACTCTGATCTTTCCTGCAGCCACACCTGGAGCTCAAAATCTACACCTGAAATCCTAAAATGCCCCAAATTCAAGCCACATTTTGATCCTGCCTAAAGCCATACCTGGAGCTCAAAATCTACACCTCAAATCCCAAAATCTCCCAAATTTAATCTAAATTCTGCTCCTTCCTGCAACCACACCTGGAGCCCCAAATCTGCACCTTTTACCCTATAATTCCCCCGATTCAAGCCCAATTCTGCTCCTTCCTGAAGCCATAGGTGGAACCTCAAATCCACACCTGGTGCCACACCTGGAGCTCCAAATCTACACCTGAAATCCCAAAATCTCCCAAATTTAATACAAGTTCTGCTCCTTTCTGCAGCCACAGCTGCACCTGAAATCCCCAAAATTCAAGCCCATTTCAGACCCTTCCTGAAGCTGCACCTGGAGCCTCAGATGTACACCCGGTGCCACACGTGGAACCCAAAATCTGCACCTGAAATCCTGAAATCCCCCAAATTCAAGCCACATTTTGATCCTGCCTAAAGGCACACCTGGAACCTCAAACCTACACCTAAAATCCTAAAAACCCTCAAACTCAAACCCAATTCTGCTCCTTCCTGAAGACCCATCTGGAGCCCCAAATCTGCAGCTGAAATCGTAAAATCTCCCAAATTCAATCCAAATTCTGCTCCTTTCTGCAGCCACACCTGGAGCTCCAAATCGACCTCAACCTCGACCTCACCCGCTTCAAGCAGGTGCCACACCTGGAAACTCAAACCTGCATCTTTCGTCCCCCAAATTCAAGCCCAACTCTGATCCTTCCTGAAGCCACACCTGGAACCTCAAATCCATACCTGGTGCCACACCTGGAGCTCAAAATCTACACCTGAAATCGTAAAATTCCCCAAATTCAAGCCCAACTCTGATCCTTCCTGAAGCCACACCTGGAGCCTCAAATGTACACCTGGTGCCACACCTGGAGCCCAAAATCTGCACCTGAAATCCCAAAATCTCCCAAATTCAATCCCAATTCTGCTCCTTCCTGAAGCCACACCTGGAGCCTCAAACCTACACCCTAAATCCCAAAATCTCCCAAATTCAATCCAAATTCTGCTCCTTCCTGAAGCCACACCTGGAGCCTCAAACTTGCACCTGAAATCCCAAAATCTCCCAAATTCAATCCAAATTCTGCTCCTTCCTGCAGCCACACCTGGAGCCCCAAACCTACACCTTTTATCCTATAATTCCCCTGATTCAAGCCCAATTCTGCTCCTTCCTGAAGCCACACCTGGAGCTCAAAATCTACACCTGAAATCCTAAAATCCCCCAAATTCAAGCCATATTTTGATCCTGCCTAAAGCCACACCTGGAGCTCCAAATCCACACCAGGTGCCACACCTGGAGCTCAAAATCTACACCTGAAATCCCCAAATCTCCCAAATTCAAGCCCAATTGTGCTCCTTCCTGCAGCCACACCTGGAACCTCAAATCCACACCTGGTTGCCACCCCTGGAGCCCCAAATCTACACCTGAAATCGTAAAATTCCCCAAATTCAAGCCCAACTCTGATCCTTCCTGCAGCCACACCTGGAGCCTCAAACCTCCACCTTAAATCCCAAAATCTCCCAAATTCAATCCAAATTCTGCTCCTTCCTGCAGCCACACCTGTAGCCCCAAATCTGCACCTTTTATCCTATAATTCCCCTGATTCAAGCCCAATTCTGCTCCTTCCTGAAGCCATAGCTGGAACCTCAAATCCACACCAGGTGCCACACCTGGAACCTAAAATCTATACCTGAAATCCCAAAATCCCCCAAATTCAAGCCCATTTCAGAGTCCTCCCGCAGCCACACCTGGAGTCTCAAACCTATACCTTTTTATCATGAAACCCCCCAAATTCAAGCCCAACTCTGATCCTTCCTGATGCCACACCTGGAGCCTCAAATCTACACCTGAAATCCTAAAAAATCTCCTAAATTTCATCCCAGCTCTGAACCTTCCTGCAGCCACACCTGGAGCTCCAAATCTACACCTGTCCCGGGCGTGTCCCGGGTGTGTCCCGGGCGTGTGGGCGTGTCCCGAGCGTGTCTGGGCGTGGCCTGGGCGTGTCCCGGGCGTGTCTGGGCGTGGCCTGGGCGCGGTTTACCTGCGGTTACCTGCCAGATTGGCTTTGAAAAGCGCCCCCGCGGGTGCCGCCGGCGTCAGTCCCGGGAGCGCGGCGGCGGCCAGCGTTGCTGTGGGAATTGTCACCAGGGCCAGCGCCGGCTGGCCTGTCACCTGACCTGCAATACTGATGGGGATAAGAAGAGGTTGAGTAACGGGCCCTGCCGGAACCATTACTCCTGTCACACCTGTGGCTAAGCTTTCCTGAGCCAACACCTGCGGAGATAAATGAGATTTGAAAGAGAGAAAACACCAATCAACGCCTCGATCGGGAGCACGGAGGGGGAGCCGCGCCACGCCCACTTCGCGCCACGCCCACTCCGCGCCACGCCCATGCCACGCCACGCCCACTCCGCGCCACGCCCATGCCACGCCCACCCGGCCCGGGATAGATCTATGCGGGGAAAAGGGGAGGGGTCCCACCCGTGAACCTCTGGGGGGGAAGGGAAAGGGGGAGACCCCTCCCCTGTGAACCCCTTAGGGGGGTCCCCAATGAATTTCTGGGGGGAAGGGAAAAGGGGGAGACCCCTCCCAGGGGGAGCCCCCCCAAGTGAATCTCGGGGGGGAGGGGGCGAACGGGGGGTCCCCCACCCTGTGAACCCCCCCAATGAATCTCTGGAGGGGGAAGGGAAAAGGGGAGACCCCTCCCCTGTGAACCCCTTAGGGGGTCCCCAATGAATTTATGGGGGGGAAGGGGAAGGGGGAGACCCCTCCCCTGTGAAGCCCCCCAATGAATCTCTGGGGGGAAGGGAAAGGGGGAGCCCCCTCCCCTGTGAACCCCTCTCTGTGGGGAGCTCTGTTTGGGGTCCCTCTGGGGGGGCGCATAAAGGAGGAGGGGTCTCCCCTTTTCTCTGACCCCCACTCAGAGGGGATCCCCTTGATTTTGGGGTCCCCCCCTTAGATGGGACCCCTTTCCCATAGTGGGGGGCACCTGGGGCCTCCCTCCCCCCTCCCCCAAGGTCTGTGTGTGGGGACAAACAGGGACCCCCTTCCCTGGCCCCGCCCTCTCCATGGGGTCCCCCCATTTCCCTGCCCCCCCCTGGGTGCAGACCCCTCCCCCGGGACCCTCCCTCACCCCCCAGCCCCGGGGGACAGTTACCTGTGGCGTGGCCTGCACGGCCAGGTGTGTCACCGCGGGCTGGCTCGGGGCGTGGCTCGAGGGGACAGCGGGGACAGGTGATGGTGCTTTGGGTTTGCCTGGGGGGGAAAAGGTGAGGGTGAGGGGGGCACCCCAAATTCTGCATACCTGGGGTGGGAACCGCCTCCCATAGGTGAGGATAGGGGGGCACCCCAAATTCTGCACTCTTGGGAAGGGAATGGCCTCCCACAGCTGAGGGTGAAAGGGGCACCCCAAATTCTGAACACCTGGGAACAACCTCCTACAGGTGAGGGTGAGGGGGGACACCCCAAATTCTGCACACCTGGGGTGCGAGCAGTGTCCCACGGATGAGGGATACCCCAAATTCTGCACTCTTGGGGAGGGAACGGCCTCCCATAGGTGAGGGGGGACACCCCAAATTCTGCACACCTGGGGTGGGAACAGCCTCCCACAATGGGGGTGAGGGGAACACCCCGAATTCTGCTCTCTTGGGGAAGGAGCAGCGTCACATAGGTGAGATAGAGGGGCACCCCAAATCCTGCCCTCTTGGGGAAGGAACAGCCTCCCACAGGTGAGGGTGAGGGGGGCACCCCGAATTCTGCACACCGGGGGACAGAACAGTGTCCCACAGTTGGGGGAAGACACCCCAAATTCTGCAAACCTGGGGAGGGAATGGCCTCCCAAAGGTGAGGGGGACACCCCAAATTCTGTGCACCTGGGGTGGGAACAGCCTCTCACAGGTGGGGGTGAAGAGGGGCACCCCAAATTCTGCACACCGGGGGAGCGATCTGATGTTCTCAGGTGAGGGTGAGGGGGGGCACCCCGGATTCTGCACACTTGGGGTGGGAACAGCGTCCCACAGGTGAGGGGTACCCCAAATTCTGCACACCTGGGGAGGGATAAGGTGTCCTCAGGTGGGGTCAGTGCCCGGGGAGGGGGCGCAGGGCACGCAGGGACCGTTCCCGGTTGTGGGGAAAATCCTGGGACCGAACCCGGGAAGGATCCTGGGACACTGCAGGAATGTTCCCGGTTGTGGGAAGGATCCCGGGACCAATCCCAAAGCACGCAGGGAACGTTCCCGGTTGTTTTTGGGGTCTCTCACCTGCTGTGTCCCCGCTGGACGAGCTCGGGGTGCTGCCGGGAGCGTCCTCCACTCCTGGGGGGCCCCCCTGTCCCGGGGACCCCCCCGCTCCCTCCCCGGCGCTTTTGGGGTCCCCATCCACCCCCACCTCCAGCACCCGGATGGTCTCATGGCCGGACATGACAATGACCTGTGAATGAACCCCAAAATCAGCTCCACGGTGTCACCCCCAGGCCGTGTCCCCCCCGCGCTCCCCGAGTCCCATGGGGTGGGTTTGGGGTGCAGAGTGCACCTGGGGGAGGGAGGGATGGGTGGGGGGTCCCAGCACCCCAAACCCAGAGCACCCCAAACTCGGAGCACCCCCAAACCTACACCACCCCAAACCAACAGTACCCCCAAAACCTACAGTACCCCAAACCTACAGCACCCTAAACCCGGAACACCTCCAAACCTACAGCACCCCAAAACCTATAGCACCCAAACCCACAGTGCCCCAAATCCAGAGCACCCTGAATCTGGGAGCACCCCAAAAAACTATAGCACCCCAAACCTACAGCATCCTAAAACAAAGCCTTTATCCCCAAACCTACAGCACCCTGAATCCTGGAGTACCCCCACACCTGCTGCAGCCCCTAAACAGAACCAGCACCCCAAACCTACAGCACCCAAACCTACAGCGCCCTAAACCCACAGCACCCCAAAACTACAGCACCTTGAATGCGGGAGCACCCCCACACCTGCTGCACCCCCTAAACAGAATAGCACCCCAAACCCACAGCACCCAAACCTACAGCACCCTAAACCCACAGCACCCTGAATCCAGGAGCACCCCAAACCTACAGCACCCCAAACCCACAGCATCCTGAATCTTGGAGCAAAACCCCAAAACAGCGCAGGTACCCCACACCTGCAGCACCAGAGCATCCCATCCCCCCACCCCAGGTGAGACCCCAAATCTCCTCGAGACCCCAAATCACCCCCTCCCTCCTCCAGGCCGGTTTTGGGGCGGTTTTGGGTCAGTTTTGGGATGGTTTTGAAGCAGTTTTGGGGCAATCTTGGGGCTGGTTTTGGGGTGGATTTTGGGGCCAGTTTCGGGGAGTTTTGGGGTGGTTTTGGGGTCAGTTTTGGGTTGGTTTTGGGGCAGATTTGGGTCGGTTTTGGGGTTACTTTTGGGTCGGTTTTGGGGCAATTATAGGGCAGTTTTTGGGCAGTTTTTGGGGATGTTTTTGGGGCCATTTTTGGGG